TTTTTTTGCTGCCACTGATAACAGAGCAAACTTCCTCTTTTCAAACGTTCTGGAATCGACTTGCGCCACGGATCGGAATTTCTCGCAGCAATCGCTTTCGTAACATACTATCCGCGTAGGCACGCTTGTTAACTGCGCGCTTTATCCTCGTGACAGGATTTGCTGACTTCCTTAGATCAAAACCGCCTAGATTTTGCTCATGAATAGATCAATTATACTGGTACGTTCTTTTATACACCTTATGCTTTACTTTTTTTTCCGTTCCTTTTTTTTCCTCTGTTTTTTTTTTTTAAGCATTGTACGGGCAGTCTGTATGATCGCGCCTCACCCATGTTTCAGCCCTATCGTGAGAATCGCGCCCACTGTCAAACTCCCTCCTTAGCGAATTCACCTCCAAGGGGTCAGGCACGTCGAAGTTGATGTTGACGCAACACTGCGATAAGGAGGTCGTGCATACGCCAAGCAGTGGTCACTTCTGTCTTCTGTATTTTCGTTTTTTATACTTCGTTTATTATTGTGCAACCACAGCGCTTCTTCTTCTTCTTCTTCTTCTTCTTCTTCTTCTTCTTCTTCTTCTTCTTCTTCTTCTTCTTCTTCTTCTTCTTCTTCTTCTTCTTCTTCTTCTTCTTCTTCTTCTTCTTCTTCTTCTTCTTCGAAAACAGAATGGTTTCTAGTACGAATTTTCATTGTACGTTTTTTTTTTCACAGGTTATCTTCTCTAAAGCGCACGGCAATGCTGAAGTGATCACTATACTCCTGAACAGTGCAGTGTTGAACGGATAGACACAACAATTGCTACGACTCAGGACATGGTGAACATAGCGTTACAAAGCTCCTTCCGCAGTAATTGTGACGTCGTTGGCTGCGAGTGAGAAATAGCTTTGTCCGTGAGCGAAAACTCAAGGTGAATTTAAATAAATAAATAAATAAATAAATAAATAAAATTTGGTTCGAGTGAGAATCGAGCTCAGGCCTTCTGTGTGGCATGTAGCTATTCTGCCACAGAGCCACGTCACTGATTGAAACTGCTCTCGCGGGGAGTCATATATATATATATATAAATATATATATATATATATATATCCGCGTGATGCTTTACGGATGAGTATTGGGTGCTGATTTGCAAAATGAATAATTGTGAGGAGGTAGGGAGCCATTCGCAAATGGGCATTGCAGGATAGTTTGGAATGACTGGTGTTACGCTGAGTGACGTTGTTTTTTCCTTAGCGGTATGGTTCACGCGGCGTCCACTGGGAGGCAAAGCGAAGCGAGGCTATCGATTGAGACGGCGTTGCGAACAGGGCCCATTTACGCTATCGCGCTGTACACTTGAGGCGAAACTCAAGCATCCCCCAACGTTCGGCCTCGCCTCTTTACATTAGGAATCACGCATCGTATTCTGTTTGCTCTGCTTGCAGATGGCACGCTAAATAATAATTCATTAACACCACGGGTGCGCGGACAACATACCACGCTCGTAGCCTGCTCGCGGCCGTTTCGCTAGCTCCACGTGTTCTAAATTTGGTACCACGTGACGCGAATAGACGACGAAGATAAACGATACGTACAAACATGATAATCGTGACACGGAAGTCACGTAGGGCATTATTTACCTTCACCTTGTAACGTTGTTCTGATTTTAAAGTGGCATATCAACATTTGTCAATCGTGCTTCGCATGCACATCATTGATTCCCACTGTACGTGGGACCTGCCGTTTTTCTTTTTGTTTCGTCTCTATCTCGGTTTTAGCGAACCGGGAGCCGTTTTTTAATTAGCCGCGGTTGAAGCGCCAGCGCACATTTCCCGGTATTTAGGAGCGGATATTTCTTTATTTGGCGGCGGTGACGGCGTGTCGCGCTTCTTATCTGATGTGTCTCCCAAGCTCTGCACGAACACAGACGAAAAAAAAAAAATCTCAAGGAAAGGGACAACGGAGACGATGTGGGGCAAGGACGGCGTAAGATTAGCCGGGAAGTGAGCATATACAGGACACTACACGGTGCCTGATAAAAGTAGAGACGTGAGTGCTGGTATATCTTTTTTTTTTTTTCAAGCCCCCGGGCAACAAATGAGTGAAACCGCAAAGGGACGCATTCTGTGAGCTAAAGCAAAGCGCGCCGGCCTTCACATTTTTTGGAAAACCCTGAAGGCGTCATACTTGAACGTCGGCCTCAACCGTTGTGGATATATAACAACTATGTCTTCGGTTAATTGATGCGCAGCCAATAAGAGAAAACTTGTAGCGTGAAAGCGTGTGTTTTTGCCAAATAAACATGCGCGTTATAGAGGACAGGTCTAAAGACACAGTGTTAGTCGGCCAGAGTGGTTAGCTGCGAAAGAAACTTTCTTTCAAAGAATTTGGTGATGCATTTCTTTCACTTTTAAATTTGAAATGGTGCGTTACAGCAAAATACCCGTGATAAGGTCTCTAACGTGTTCATCAATATGAGCCATCTGACAAAAACTTGCAGAACGCTCGAGGTTCGCCTTCAAGAGTACAACGTGATAGCGTAATCTGGCGGCGTGCGCACTGCTTCCAGCCGCAATGAAAGAAACGTTTATGCGCGTAACACTGGCCTTTTTTGTAACTATCCTAGAATGTCTGCGGTATGTACCGGTGCTGAGAGGCCTCTACGCCATATGTTTTTTTTTTCCTTTTGCTAACTGGCGAAGTGCCCACCAACGTTAATCTAGTAACGTTGGTGCCCGCTACTCATTCGTAACTTACACGCGATCTTGAGTATAGTTGCACTCTTTGTAACGGGTGGACAGCTTAAAACTACCCACTTGTGAAATTAACTTGTTTTGACGCCTGGTGCGATTCTATGGGATTCTGCCACTCAATAGTACAAGCGCTAAGCGGACTCAGTCAACTAGATGACAATCATATAGTGTTTTTTTTTTTTAAGCAGTTTCAAGCTATGACGTGGTTCTGCGGTAGAACACCTCCTTGCCACGCAGACACCCAGGTTTTCAATCTCATTATTGATGATTGATTTGTGGGGTTTAACGTCCCCAAACCCCGTTATGATTATGAGAGACGCCGTAGTGGAGGGCTACGGAAATTTCAATCACTTGGACTGTTCAATGTGCACGCAACTCTGAGCACTACGGGCCTACAGCGTTTTCTCCTCCATCGAAAAAATGCAGCCGCCGCAGCCGGGATTCGATCCCGCGACCTGCGGGTCAGCAGCCGAGTACCTTAGCCACTAGACCACCGTAGCGGGGCCTCCAACTTCACTTTGGATAGAAAATTTTTAATAATTGTAATGGTTTAATGTCCCAAACCGCCATAATATTATGAGAGATGCAGTATATATATATATATATATGTGGGGGGGGGGGGGGGGGAATATTTAACGTGTACCCAAATTTAAGCAGGCTGGCTTTCAAGCATTTTCGCCTCCATCGAAAATGCGACCGCCGGGGTCTGGATTCAATCCCCCGACCTGCGGGTCAGCAGCCGACTAGTCGTCTTAGCCACTAGACCACCATGACGTGTGAACTGAAAATATTTATTACTTATTTTATTTGCATCCTTCTCTATTTTTTGCTTACATGATCTTTCGCTCAAAACAAACGACACCGATGCCGTAATTTCTGTGACACGAGCTCTTTAACGCTATCGCGTTAATAGTCGTCCAACGGAATAAAGCAAGGCATTTCCAATTAATTTGTCAAATAGTGTCACGTGCTTTATATTTATTTATTATATTATATTTATTTATTTATACTGTAAGCCTTTCTCAGGCCATACAGGGTGGGCGGGCAAATATACACAGTCGCGTACAAACCAGGCAATATCGCACATAGCGGAAGAAACAGAATCACAAAATTATGGTGAAAATAAAACTTGAACGATGAAAGCAATTGTACAAAATCATGAACAGGTCACAAAACATCAAGGTATCAGCAGGGGGTACAGTGATCATTGTGTTCGGAAGCGCTCACAAACATCAAAAAACAAAAGTTGCATTTAGTGATTACCTAGTATTTAGTGATTACCTGAACAGACAATCCACTGTGTATGTTCATTATAGATGTAGTGCCACGGAAACAACACTGCTCAGGAAAAACAGCAAACATTCGCACAAATGCTTTTATTTTGTTGCTTTTCTGGCTTCATTTGGCGCCGTTGAATCAACTATCTCCTTTGTATAAAGTAATCTAAGCCTTTGTATCGGTTGAACTAAAGACATGATCGAGCTTTTGCGCCATTTACCACACTTATGTTATTGTGTGTGATTGTGCGTAGTTGTGTGGCATTGGTATGGCGCAGCATAACTTACGATGCCCAGGAAAGCGGCGCGAACCTGTATATAGCCTGTCTATTTACATACGCTTATAAGTAAGCGTCTCCTGAACCACTCTTGCCGTCGTTCACGAAAGGACGTGGTTCAACCGTCCCAATCATAATTGGCCCGACAAACACTCTCTTTGAGAGGTCTACATGCCAGATAAACCTCTACTGAGTGATCGTGTGCTGTTGCATAAATGAGTATACGAAGTTTCGCGGTCACTCTTCACACGGCAAACAAGTATTCCAACGTCATGGTCATAAAAACCAACAGCGTGGGACACGTAATTGAAATAGTGTTGTTGTTGTTGTTGTTGTTGTTGTTGTTGTTGTTGTTGTTGTTGTTGTTGTTGTTGTTGTTGTTGTTGTTGTTGTTGTTGTTGTTGTTGTTGTTGTTTCTTCGTTTGAGAATCACGCTCATACGCTCTGCTTCTGAACACAAACGCGTGCGCAAATTCTGAGCATTAAATGCTTGAATACATCATTCTAGTGTTGTAGAGGTAATCCGCTATGAACAAGCACGACAAGCCCCGAACAGAGCAGATGTTCACCGGCTCTCACGGGAAATCAGGGAGAAGTATCTTCGCACTACCGTAATAAAAGTGATACATTGTTGCTGTGCATTACATCGTCTTGCAGAAGCATTACTTTTTTTGTCATTTGCCACGTAATCATTCACGTGTATTCCGATTTTTCTGCAGGACGACCACCTTTCAAAGTCCACGATGTCGGTACTTCTCGCTATAATCATTGTGTCACTGTTTGTCATGAATGAGCCCTTGTCGTCAGCTTACAAGCTTATGAAGCATGATCCCATGGTGAAGACTCAGTCGGGTCTCATTCGCGGCTTCAAGGAGGACGTATTCGGCCTGCCCATCGACGTCTTCCTCGGAATCCCGTTCGCCGAGCCACCTGTCGGAAGTCTACGCTTCATGCGTCCGGTGCCCGTAAAACCATGGCACCGAGAGTACAAGGCCATGTTTTTGCCACCCTCGTGCATTCAGCCTTCGGTATACTTCAACCAGATCATCAACATAACGGGCGACGAGCGCAGCGAAGACTGCCTGTACCTCAACATATGGGCGCCGGCACGCGAGACGAAAGAGCAGCGAAAGGCCGTCATGGTTTTCTTTCACGGAGGAGCGTTCTTCTTCGGCAGCACCAACTGGCACTTCTACGACGGTTCCAGGCTCGCCGCCCTGGGGGACGTGCTTGTCGTGAGCGTAAACTACAGACTCGGGCCGTTCGGCTTCATGACCGCCAGGAACTCTCCCGTGTCTATGGGAAACCAGGGACTTCACGACCAGCATCTCGCCATGCTTTGGGTAAAGCAGAACATCCGTTATTTCGGCGGAGACGACGACTTGATCACGTTGTTCGGCCAGAGCGCGGGTTCTATATCTATCGGCTATCACCTCGTCTCGCCGTCTAGCAAGGTCTCTTCAAGAGAGCCATCATGCAGAGCGGCAGCCCTTACTGGACCATAGGTAAGATGGAGAACGAGGACAGCTTCACGAAAGCGGCCGTTAAACTCAACTGCGTCGATCGTGGCGTGGAAGAAGTGACGGACTTTGATTCCGTCTTGGGTTGCCTGCAAAACAAAAACGCCACGGACATTCTCAACGCTCTCGAATCGAGGAACGGTCGCGTACGGCTGACTTACCACCCCGACCACGGCGATGACCTCATCCCAGAAGACGTACCGAAGGCCATAAGAAGTGGTTTCGCTAATGACGTCGATCTGCTAATCGGGGCCGTCAAGGACGAAGGAAGCGTATTCATAGAGTACTACATGTCACCTGTGTTGGACTTCATGGACTGGTCCAAGATCCAGAAGGGAACCATGGAAGTGTACTTTATGCTGCTGTTTAGGTTCCTGCACGAGAAGAACGTTAACCAAATACGAGATTTCTACCTAGAATCGGCTACCGAAGATCCCAGCAGCTTTCTGAAAAACTCTTCCAACGCGATGGGTGACTTCGCCTTTCTCTGTCCACTCATGTACTTCGCCGAAGACTACGCCAGGAGGAACAACAGCGTCTACTTTTACGAATTCGCCCACCGGCCCAGCTATTCCTGGAACGCGCCGTGGGCGGGAGTGGCCCATTTCGAGGAAATACCGTTTGTGTTTGGCTTCACCTTGGATAACGACCTTTTCAACATTACGCAAGAGGAACGAGCGCTTACACTTTTCATGATGTACATGTGGACGCATTTTGCGAAAACTGGGTAAGTCTGAACGGTAAGGTATACGAATAAGCATTGAAAATATGCCACGTGCCAGAATTTGTATCCCCTGTTTCAAAACCATGGTAATGCTTGATGTGGTAAAGCTATCTAGTTTAATATGTTTACTTCATTAGATGACGCGAAGCATGTCCATGATGACTGCGTAATGATGACTGTAGAACATATGAACACGTTATTTCAACTCGCCTGATACGTCTAGTAACCGCGAGCACGCGAGCGTGAATAAAATTCTAATTGTGTCAAACATTAAACACATCAAATGAGCCCGTCATAGCCCACATATATACGAAAGCACAGTTGAGTATACGTAGCAGAACTAGCATATTTTTAATCATTACCAAGTGCCAAATTATTAGCGGCTGTCGGATTTCTGCCAAAATATTGAGTTTATAAGTGCGTCTAATTAACAATCATATCTATTTCACCCCTAACGCTTTGCAAAGGACCACTGTCGGTAACTACTACGTGTGATATCTATTGGTGAATCCTTTGCAACAGATATGAGCTCTTTGGTGGACAACGAGAAGTTTACACGGCAAATGTTTCGGTTGCAGTGTTAAACGCCTTGTTGATGTGAAACATGCCGGGGCGCGAGCACTGAAACCACGCGCCCCTGTGGCGTAGTAGAAGGAGATGTGTGTTGGTATGGTCAATCGCGGTAGTAGTTCCCAATGCTCTGCAATCAACATCCATAAGTCAGAATTTTATATTTTTAAAACAGCCTATCACATTGTGTCAACGACGACCGATGCGCATTTTCTTCATTATAAGGCGAACAACACAATATGTAAAACCGAATAAGTAAAATCGTACATATCATGTACTGCCCTTAACCGAACGCCACATACTCATCCATCACGCATAAACCACTCCTATATTTTTGTACAACATGATTACATAAAGGGAGACATGCGGAGTAATTTGCACTATCGAGAGAGTCCACATTTTTTTTTCTGCTACCACTGTGGTGACACATACCATCCAACCCCCTCATAATACATCTCAATTTACACAATGTTTATGGCCCATGATACAGTTGTCGAACAAAGCTTGTACTAGGTATATATGCTATGAGTATACACATCCTTAGTGAGGGGCGCGTTTCCGGTGTGCCTGCCCTTGGCACAATATATGTCGTTAGGCATATATATTCCTGCTTTTAATGACCATGTTTACCAACAATAGCCGACAGTCCCACGGCTACACCAATGTTTATCTCCAAAACTGAGATGAAAAATTCACATGTAGAAATTTGTAGAACTGATTAGTATCAGGAACCAGCTGGCATATGACAAACGGAAATGACATTCAGCAAACTATTCATTCACCACACTGGTGTGCACTTGATATTTTTCTGCTGCAACCGTAACCTACTCAAAAAGAGATAAACGGTGAGCATCTCTAACATTCAAAAACATTAAATACTGATTTAGAGAAGATTAAAATTTAACCACAGAGATAGGGTAATGGGAATAAAAGGTATAGAAGGTAGGATAACAGAAAAAAAAAACTGCCGCTAGCACATTTGATTCGGTTCATTGTTTTGCATTTAATCATGAGTTTGATTAAGGCATAAGTTATGCAACCGGCTTAAAGCCCTATTCACGCCATTGTTTGGACATAGAAAACACAAGAGTCGGCGATGATAGCCTGCGTCTTTGCGCAGGGCATAGGTCTAACAATGGGCACCGCGCTGTCGCTGTTGGCGCCTTGTCTTCTTTCTTTCCTCGCTCGCAGACAAGTGCCTCCGATCAACGGCAAAACGTGGCCACAGTTCAGCGCTTCTAACCCCAGCTACGCTGAGCTGAACCTTCCGGAATCCGAGATCAAGTCGCCCGTCTCTGACCACCGCTGCGAGTTCTGGCGATCACGGTTCTGCGGCCAGTACAAGACAAGGACAGCGCGCTGAGAAACACATCCCACGATCATTTCACCATTGTATATATTTCCTCATTCATTGTCAACAACAACAAAAAAAGAGCATGCAACGAACGCTGTCGTTATGTCTGCTTTGTTCTGACCTCACTGAACAGATACTCGTGAAGACAAGAAAATATCAACATAGAAACGATGGATTTTGAATAGAGACTTACACGAGTAAACTACTATTTATGCATCTATAATGACTAATATACATGTATAACGCTTCATTAGCTATCCGTTATATCTACAGAACCTATTCTGTGGTGCTCACAATTTGTTATAGTCAATGCTATGAGCTCACTTCACAACACATCTTTAATCACAATTAATCACATGGCCCTTCCTTAAGTCTTTCAATGCCACAAAGCTCATGCTTCACTCCAAAAAGCGACGAAGGCGCTGCATCGGTTTCTGCGAGCAACCCACCGCGTCAAACAATTACGATTATGACGAACGAATATTAACGCTGTGTGTGTGTGGGTATTCCTACTTTGCTCCCTCACTCATTATTACCCCCCTTGCTTTTCTGTCTCTTCTTAACCTTCTACAAGAACAGGGCAGCAAATCAGGTATTTTCCGGTTAACCATCCTGCCTTTCTGCATCGAACTCTCTCTCTCTCTCTCATAATTCCAAGGTCTAATAGAACTTTTTTTTATGTCCAGTTATGCTCGGAAAGACACTAGCACTTGTCGACACCTGCTACTGCTCTGCTTCGTTTCTGCAGCTGCGCACTAGACAATGAAGAAGCTCTAAACCAAGAAAATATAGAAAGCAAAATACCAACCATATGGTTCAAGCACGGGCACACGCACTCACACACGCACTACATTGATATAGCCTGGGACGTGTTTAAAAAAATAGTTATGCACCCCTCCCCCAATATTATTGCGTTTTGTCTGTTTATGTAAACGCCTACAAGCGCATTCACAAACATACACAAAGGGTAGTTAATCAATCCCCCCCATCCCCCCGAAAATACCTATCGCTACGCGCCACACACACACACACACGCACGCACGCACGCACACACACACACACACACTCACACACACACACACACACACACACACACACACACACACACACACTTTTAGTACGCAGGAACGTACGTGAACAATGTCGAAGACACGCCGTGGCAGCTTATAGCGAGTAGTCTCACGCTGGTAAGTTCGAACACGCTGGTTCGATTATTGGCCGCAGCAGCTGCGCTGTATAGTTAGGCTTATTAAATGCGTGTGTTTGGAATTGTGTATGATACTTACGACGCCTTCACTCATAAGCTAACAGTGCGGAGCTACAGCAAAGTTAATCCGGCTTCAAACAAACAAAATAACAAGAATAACACACTACGCAAAAGATATTCGCCGGCTTTAGCCACAAAAAAAAAAGACAGCATATCCACGGAGTGAATGATGGAGAGTGGGGCGAAGCATTCGTCCGTCCATTCGTTCTTGCTTCCGTCCGTTCCTGCGTACGTCTGTGTAACCGTCCATGCGTCCATCCACCCGTCCGTGCGTGCATCTGTTCGTGCGTCCGTCCCTGCGTTCGTCCATGCATCCGCGCCTGCGTCCGTTCATGCGTCCATCCATCCATCTGTCTGTGTGTCCGTTCGTCCATCTATTCAGCACTCCAAGTACCACCATCTCGCATCTTTTCATCATATATTCTCCATATAGAAGCACCGCCATCCAGCGGACATTTCAAGGACTAAACGGGAGGTGGCACATGCACAGTTTCTTACGGCTTGCGCTTCGGGTTTACTTCCCACCTTTAACCACCTCGAGTTCATGGTATATACTAGTTCACTGTATTCATGGCTATGCGGCCCAACGCTCGCTAAACCTTTCTGAAACCAAGGAGGTTACACCCATCGAGTATAATGTAGCAACCCTTTCTTGTCAGATCGTGCTCAATGTACATGCCAATAGCTGCTAATGGGGATCGCAGCGTGCGCGTTACCTAAAGGCCGAATGCTCCTGTCTCTCATTCCCCCTTAGCAGCCATTAACATGTGCATTGAGCACTATCTTTTATTGTTCAACAACGCACAGAAGAAATCTCTCACCGGAACTACCTTGGAGGTCAAAATCGTAAGGACCGCTATTTCGGGTATGTGCCACTGGTGGTTACGTACTACGAGGGACACACAAGCCACACCATAAGGAGCTTCGCCCCTAAAACAAAGGCGCAAACAAACAATTAAAAAGAAATGAGGTTCGAGTGCAGGAACATTCTCGCGATGGTCTATTTCATGACACTGAAAGCGTTCTGGTTAAAGTGCTGTCTGCCCCAGCGCCCTGCTCAGCAAATGTCCTCGAGTCAATCCTCTGCAGGCACCTTCGCTAGGTGAGGGGTGAGAAGTGTTTATAGCCAGCCGACCGTGTTGGCGCCATGTGGCGACTGGCGTTGAGCAAAGGAAGCCTTAGACTACAACAGATTGCCTCGCAGGTATACATCAGGGTCTATGCGAAATTGGATGACGTAGAGCTCACAATTAATCTCTCTTACACGACATAATTAAGCGAAAATATGAGATCTACGTGCGCAAGCATTCTCCCCCCCCCCCCTCTTTTTTTAACGGAATGCCGCCGTCACTCACAGGAATCGGACCCACGACCTTGTGCTGGGCGGTGGTACGGGCAATGGCTCTGTGCCTCCTCTGCGCGTGATCACCCCCGCACGTGGTCCATCTCTTGTTTTTTTTTTTTTTTTAAGCATCGCCTTAAAACGAGTGCCATTGCGCACTCGCGTTAGAAAATTGTGTCACCCGGTCCTTTCTCTGTGCGTCTATAGTTCTCATTGATTGATATGCGGCGTTTAACGTCCCAAAACCACCATAATATTATGAGAGACGCCGTATTGGAGGGCTCCGGAAATTTCGACCACCTGGGGTTCTTTAACGTACGCCCAAATCTGAGCACACAGGCCTGCAACATTTCCGGCCCCATCAGAAATGCAGCCGCCGCAGCCGGGATTCGATCCCGCGACCTGCGGGTCAGCAGCCGAGTACCTTAGCCACTAGACCACCGTGGCCAGGCGCGTCTATAGTTCTTGTGATTTACAAAAACAATTTCAAGCTTGCACTCATGAGGTTAAATGTTCGCGTTTAATGACTTTCACAAGTTTTTATCAATGAAGAAAATTCGATACACCTGTAAATAAATTTTTCTTTTGTTTATATGTGTTTTCTTATTCCTTATTTTGTGACTTTTAAATCAGGTGAAGCACGGGCAGTGATTGACTTGCGTTTGTAGCGCTTGCCTCTGCTAGTCCTTCTCGCTCTACGCTGAGCGATGTTAGAAGTTGGATCGCGCTCAGTTATCTCGCTTGATTTGCGTGTCAACTACGGGAAAGATAAGGACAGCGAGTTGTGGCGGGCGGAGTACGGAAGCCGCTGTGAGCTACATGTATACCTACGCCAAACAAGTCAACCATGGATGCTTCGAAGATGGCTTAATCGCGGGAAAGACATGTTTTCCGCGGCTTTGCGGTGTGCTAAACCGGTGATTTATAGTTCCGCGAAGGTTTTTCAACGCTTCCTAAAGGCAACGGGTGAGCACAAGAATTTCCATGATTTGAGCAAGTATTGATTTTGCATGAGTACAAAAGAGTAAACCCAGTTAACTGCAAGGTAGCCTGACTGGACTGACAGAAGTGGAGTGTCGCTTTGCTAATTGGTGAAGATGGCAGGCAGGATCCTGTCGGGAAAATGCGTTTATTGAAAGGCTTGAATTCGGGTTGGCTAGGTTCCTTTACTTTGGGCGTGTAGTTCAAAAGATGTTCAAATTTGTGTAGCCGTGGTTCCAAAATTTGTGAGTCTTTACTTCTAATGATGTTACTCAAGTATATACGTGACGGACAAAATACTTCTAAAAAGTTATTACAGCTAATGTAGATGGAGCCGACGTTTTGACAAGTAAACTTTTCTTCGTCAAGGAAACGCTGTTGCTCTGACGAAGAGAGGTCAACTTGCCGGTACACTTTCTAGCGACGTTCTTTCTCGAAAAACTTCTGATCGCTGCAAGCCTCTCCGTGCTTCTGAAATTTAGTCTCCTTTGCTACTGAAGTCCTGTAAGAAAACTATGTGCGCCATCATAACAAACGTTATTGGGTCAAATACGTGTCCCACTCACGATTGTTGATAATTTACGCATTGGTTTGGATATTCTGGGTTCAACGTTTGCTCATTATGTCCGTATGTCAATTATAAGTTAAAGCTGTTTTTACAGACTATGTATGTGTCTATTTTTTATACAATCGTAAAATAAGAAAGTACGTTTTACAGCTAAAACTGTTATGAGATCACGATTCAATCGAATCTCGCACAGCTCCTTAATTGTCCGCCGCCGCCGGTGTCCGTAACCACATCGCGCGTAATTAGCAAAAAAAAAAAACAAGAAGCAATGACACACTGAGGCTAAAACCCAGGTCCGCTGGGTGCCAGCCCAGTATTCTACCACTAAGCCTCGCCGGTGCTTGTGACTTGTTGACAAACTTTCCTTATGCAGGCTTGATGCCGGGAAAGCAATCGCTTTAATACGAGTTACAAATCGTTTTGAAGCGGCGAAAGAACAACCACTCGTCGCACAATGCGAATAGCGAAACGAGTGCATCGTCCAATCGCTCCAACCCATCACAAAAGCTTGTTTCGGTTCAGCGCATACCCACTTCATGCATAATCCATCATCGTCGTCAGCCACTGCACGAACAACTGGCACAAACTTCCTCGCAATAATTTGGCGGATTCCACGCTTCTCAGAAGAATGACGAAATATAGTATAGCGAATTCCAGCCTACTACCCTAACATTTTTATTATTAATGCCGTAGTGGGCATCACGCAAGTGTGCTTGCAGCAGTTATCCCAAGAGCGTTTTGAAAAAACTCTAAAACGATGCTCTTCTATAGCTTTCTCTGTGACTGTGCTGCGCCTTCCACGCAGGCCTGGCGTTTTTATTTGTGTTGATAGATTTCCATTTTACTGAGAAATCAGACAGCTTAACTTTCACCTCTTCTTTTTTTAATTATCAAAATTTTATGAATTGCCGCATCGCCCAAGCGGCCATGCAGCTGACCTGAAAGAAGGCACGGGCGCATTTTGCTTGCATGCGAAGTGGGAAAGAAGGGCTTCCACAGCAAGCTTTTTGCTCTCGATTTCTTGTCCTTACCTTCTATTTAGGAACGCCAACAGTGACGTCACGAAAGAAATTTTCTGTTCGTGATTTATTTCTTGTAGAATGCCCGGCAACCACCAGTGGTGAAAGTGGCGCTGCCGCAGCCGATGCGAATACATGGGAGGGGAGTTTCAGCCCCCAGCCGACACAACGGCGGCTACCGCGTTTGTAGTTTTGTTGCAGAAAGAGAGTGTCACTGAGGTGAAGCTTGAGCAACCTAAGTTCGTAATTTGTTCGCTATAACCGATTATTCTCAATGTCAATTTTAGTTATAACGAGGTTCAACGATTTGTATTGACAAATTTTGGCAGAGAAGGCCTTTGACACCAAATTCATGAGTATGTGAAAACTATTCGTAAGAGCATAATTGTCGCCGTGAGATTCTTAAGTACAGACTATTTGCGATATAATGCTATCAAATACGCTGCGTTCACTCCCTGTGCTAAAGAGCTAAAAAAGTACGCAGCCGTTTTTGACGAGTACAGTGACATTCGTGGTAATGTAAGCGGCCACCCCCTGGTAGAGAGCCTCCTAGTAATCTCAGCCGGTGTATACCATCCGTCTTGGAATGCAGTGGCACCGGTATCCATCCCCAGACCTTGCGCATTTTTTTTTAATTTATGCGCAAAGGGCACATTTCAACGAACCGGTCCCGGAGCGAACTCGTAGTTCAGTGCTTTTAAGAAAACTCTTGCTCTTTCTTTACGTCCCAGATTATTTAGTGAGGCATGCATCATCGAGTGTCTGTAACTTCTATGGCGTTCAGAACGGTCACATCGTAAAGCAATTTCTTACGAGACACACAGTGGCACGCTCAAAAACGTAATTGAGATGTTATTGTAAGTTACTAAACGGAAGCTTTGTGCTAGTTGGTTTTGCATTATGAAGTACTAACAGCGTTATACTCAACACCGGGACACAAGAGGAGATGTGGACATGCACTAACTAGCACCCGAATTTTTATTCAACACGAGCCAAAATTATACAGAAAAACAAGAAATAAATATAAAGCATAACAAGATGAGCACACACGCCCTTTCAAAATAGATAATTCTTTTGTTGATAAACATACAGATGTCATGATGATGCATAATGAAGCTTCTTGCGCGATATGGGCGGCTTCGATGATTTCGTGAGTGGGCTGGTCCTGATGTTTGCTGATCATTGGAGTTTCCTCAAACAGGGGGGTGCAATCACAGGAGCGGCAATTAATGAGCAAAAAAAAAAAAAACCTTCTCTAGCATTGCGCATATTTTTGTTTAGCTCGTCCGTTTTTCCTCTTGTGTCCCCGTGTTGAATATTGGGCTACTGTAAGGTCCAGTTTGCGCTGTTATGCGGGAAATTTCGCTACGATTCCCGACGCGCACTTGTTAGTGACAATTAAAACATGGCTCACACCGGCTGTAACGTGCAAAATGACACTGATATGCCCTGTCTTAGAAGAATACTCGAAGTACAGATGTATAGAAAGTGGATTCCCGGCCTAAACTTTTCCGTCTTTAATATTGCAAAGTTACGTAATCTCAGCCTAAAGTCAGAGCTTGCGTGAAAAATAAATAATAAAAGATCAAATAAAAGTATATGCGCTGCTGTGACCGTTTACCAACCGCATAAAGCATATAAGTGTGCCGAGCAAACATACGTCACTTTCGCCCACATTACATTAAGCTTTTTCTCCCTCACGTGGAATTCAAGGACGGGCATATTTCAAGCCACTACGTCTTAGAGAAAGCAAGGATTTCTCTCTTTTTTTTTTGTTCATTTTTTTTACATATGTGACGAAAACCCGATCAATATGCGTGGCGCAGTGACTGTGGAGGATTTATCCACTGAAATATATCAGAGCATTACAATAAACTCATCTCGTTTTAATGCGTCGAATGTAGGACAAGTTTAGTGGGACTCAACTGTGGATATAATCGGGAATTGCGGGTTACTTTCGACACCCTCGGGTTCTTTCAAATTAATGCTGAAATTTGTGATAGCTGGTTTTGACTGGAATACATAATATGGCGGAACAAAGCAAGGACATAGAAATATTCACACAGGACCTTAACGGTCGTCCTGAAAGCGCACTTAAATCAAAGTGCACGGACGGTTTTGTACTTCACCTCCACATCGAAATGCGGAAGCCTCTTGCATCACAGCTTAATACCAGAAAAAAAAATATTGCTCAGTTATAGGAAAATCTATCTTAGCGAAAAAAAAGTCTATTTGTAACACCACAAAGCCAACGGAAGCCGGGAAATTAAGTTTGTAGAAACCACGAACGCGGTCCATCATATCTATGCTAGTTGAGCTACTTTACTCGCAACATGTGTGCACTGTCGTCCTTTATGAAAGGGAACACGTGAGCGTGCGGGCCGCGCTTTGAGACGGCTACCTACAGGACCATCATCAACCGACAGCAATAGAAAAGACGTTGGCTTTTGACGTCGTCTATTGACAAACAAAACAACGAGTTATGGCCGCTGGACAAGCGCTGCAGGATACTGTAGGCAGCCGTTGAAGAGAGCAGGTCACGCGATCGCGTGTTCCCTTTCATAAAAAATGACAGTGTACAAGAGTGCTATGCAGTTCCCATACAATTCCCATTATCTCCTTTTCCCAGCACAGGCAAGTCAGCCGGTCTAATAACTGGCTAACCTAACTGGCTTTAGTGAGCTGGTAATGTTCCGATTACCAGGTTAGTGTGTTCGATGTAAATTGTGGTCAGTGAGCAAAAGCTAAACAGCACTCGTAGCGTAGAAAGCAAATAACCTAGCCGCGCAGAAGAAGAGAGATGTACCGGAAACCTGTCAATGGGGTAAAGCGTAATCGACACTCGCATCGACGAAGACGCAACGGCACGCGAGCGCGCCGGCGGCTTCCGGGTTTTTTGGCCTTGCGTCGCGGGAGGGATCGCGTCGCGGGCGCTATCGTCGCATCTTCTTGCCCTCGCGGAGGAAAGGCGCTCGGCTGGCTGTTTCGGTCGCCCGGGCCTCCCCTAGACTGCCAGGGTCAACGCCTCGCAGGAATGTCTTCGTTCGCACCTCGATCGCAGACCAGGGCCTGCTTATGCATGCATGCGTTCACAGGCGATTTCCGGAGAACGCCCTAGCAATGCTGGCGGGATGCTTGAACTCGGGGCCCCGCAGGGCCACATTTTCGCCGCCCGTTTTTCGAGGAGGGCCACGCCGCGCCTCCGCACAACACGCGGAAGCGTCCCGCCGAACGGCGAACGCCCGCACACTTTCGGCACTGCGCCGAATCGAGAGCGAGTCGAGGAGAAACACCGTTGCTGCGCGATAAGATTCGCCGACGCCGACTGCGCTTTTGTGCGGGGCAACGAAGCCGTCGCCGCGCTCTCTTCTTCCAAGGCTTACGCAACCTTGACATTGGCGCGTTTCGGCGGCAAGAAGGCAAAGCCGACGGTGTGTGACCAAGGTCACACCTTCCTACGCAACAGGTGAGATTCCTTTTTGGATGGGCACCCCGCATGGTTGCACCATGCGCTACTTGGTTGGTCACGACTAGTGAGCGTAGATAATCGTTATCGCGGGAGTATTAATAATAATTGTTTGTGTTTTACCTCCAGAAACGACCATAATATCAGAGACGCGGTATATAGTGAAAATTTCGACCACCTTGGGTTTTTTTTTTTTTTTGACGTGCACCTAAATCTAAGCTCAAAAGCCTTATAGCATTTCGCCCTGGTTGAACGCGGTCGCCGCGGCCAGGATACGATCCCGTGGCCAACGGGTAAGCGCTCAAGAACTTAACCGCTAGACCACTGTTGGTGGGTCAGCGTACGAATTTCCGACAGTGCGAAATAATCCTTCAACAAATCTTAGATTCTCGCTGAAGCCAACATTTAGGCAAGTAGTCCTGCATTCTTCAAAGTCACGTGATTCATGTGTACGGCCCAGAAACGATGTATAGGAACATGAGGAAGATAAATTGGACTTTCGTCCATAAGTTAGCTGTATCCATACTACAGCGGACATACTTATCCACTGGCCATTTTTATGGACCTGTCTCTTCGCGAGCCAACCAACTTTGTTTCTGCAAAACCTGACATGCTCCTCGCGTGTGCTGAGATGTTCTTGCGCCACTGACATGAGTACAGCACCGAAAACACTCTACAGGTCTCTGTATACTGCATAACCGTAGTGCGTCCAGTGACTTCTATTCTGAGTTCAGCAGGTTCTTAGCATCCATAATGACGTCAAATTTAAGCGCCCAGATGAAACTTGTATACAACACGCACTGGCGATGATTTTCAACCGCTTATAAAGACAGCGTGCGTTCTCAATGAAATATTTTTCCGTCAAATATCTATTACATTTGTTTTAAGGCATTAAAACGTTGAAGCAGGTACTTCATTTGTTCGAACGTACAGTCTGCTTCACACTTAGGGGGAAATCTCGGAGTGCATGGCATCGCAATACGGCCAGCGCTGCTGCCGCGTGCGGGCAGCAGCTCGCGCATGCGCAGACGCTTGAGGGCCGTGCTATTGAACCACATCGTCCGCGACGGCGGTGCGCGATGGCCACATTGTCGGGCAACCTGCTGGTTTCATCATTGCCGCGACAGTTATATATATATAGGCCGGCATGCTGTACTAAACGTTGCGCGATGTCAAGCTCTTAGTCTTCTGTGGCGATCATGGAGCTCTAGAAACATCATACATTGGCTGCTCTTTCGAAACGCCATGGTACTAAGTGCGTTCACGTATATTTTTTTTTCTGCGTGTGCAGAATGCTGTGACGTGGAATACCGTAATGAACACATGTACCGTGCGAGATATTTATTTCACGCTAAAAAAAAACGATGCACTCTACAGCGACTGCCGTGCAAGCTACTAGTATGTGGGTTAAAGAACAACGACAAATAAAAAAACGAGAAGAAGTTCAGGAATGCTGTAGGTGAAGATAACGACCTGAACGTGCTTCTTCTCGATGGCAATTCATTACTTGAGGCACCACTCACTTGTCGGCGCCGAAATGCACACGTGAAGCTTCCAGCTTCACTGAATACCCCATCGTGTCCTCAGCGACAGCGACGATGGGGCTCATTTTGGACGGCAGTGATGCGTACTGCGAGTCGGGACACGATGAGAAACATGTGCCCAGTTCCCTAAGGAACGGTTAAGCTCTAACCCCACGTACGCGTTTCAGCGCGTCAGCGCGTGACGTGTGTTGACTCGGCCCCGCGCCCTCTTCCTATGCAGTAACAGAGCACGCAGCTTCGTGTAGCTGCGTACCCTCTCCCTCCATAGAGAGAGGGCACGGCGCCGAGTCTACTCGGCACGCGCTGACGCGCGGAAACGCGTACGTGGGGTTAGAGCTTTAAGTTCGCCCGCTGCCTGACAATAATGTGGCCAGCGCGCGCAGCCGTAGCCGACGTCGCGATTCAACCGCTTCCAACACAAAGCCCCTCAAGCGTCTGCGCATGCGCGAGGTCCTGCCGGCGCGCGACGGCAGCTTTGGCCGCATCATGGCTGCATCGTGAGGCCACGCGCTACGAGATTTCTTCTAAGTGGGGAATAGACTGTACGTACTACAATGTGAAGGACCAATGTTCGCGTAGTATGTTCAAGTGAAAGTTTATTATTGTAGCCTCATTCTCGCTCGTTTCAATCAACACCCTCTTTATTACATTTTTGTACCCAAGAAAGAACATTTGAATCTACAAGTATACAGAGCACTTTAATGGCAATGCACTGCCAGCAACTTATGCACTGTCAAGAAGACGGACACAATATAATAGCTAATATTTTCAGCTGCTCGAAATATTTTTGTTATATTTTTAGGCGTTAAGTGTTTTCTTACCGCAGCCACATTGGTCAGCCTTGTCATGGCTGTCAAATAATTCAGTGCATTACTTAACCCTTACAATTCTTTGTTCCACTGCGCGCAGCATGAAGCCCTGACGTGATGGTGTTATCTAGAATTATCTAGAACCAGCAAGGCATTAGATTTTTACCAATTTTGTAATATAATCGATTATTTTTTCAAGACTCTAACATTTTGGGTGATTAAATTATACTTTCTCGAAATTGATTACTGGGAATCAATTACTTTTTATTTATTTTTTTCAAAATCGAGTTGTAACCAGTATTTTACGGCGATTCTCGCCCCTAAAAATATGCCATTGCTTTACAGGGGACCCCCGTCTTGTCAGACTAAGGGTTTTTACAGAAGCCTCTTTTTTTCTTTTTTCTTCCCACTTTCTTGGCCTTAACTGCAACGCTTTAATCCAAGCGCCAGCAACTGGAAAGCGCTACGCTTCATAGAAGAGACGGATTAGCACTGGTGCACTATGCAACCCCGAGCTGTTGCACAAGGTGTTTTAACGTTATTATCGGTATTTCAGCTGCTACATTAAACACTATATAAATGCATGCGCCAAACAAACTATTTAGCGCATACAACTGATATAGTAATATTCAATGTAGCAGCTGAACTCTTAACGAGGACACCTGGAAGAATTAGTGAAGACGAAGCTTAAGAAACAACTCCTGTTGAAAGTTGAGTACGTGCAAACGCTATATCACAAAATATAATGAGAACTCGCAGAAAATGATGCCAAGAAAGCCGCAATAAGCCCTTCAGTCTTCACGCGAGCCTCCAACCTTCTCACTATACCATGCAAGTCGCGGTGGTTTGTTGTATTTTCAGTAAACTTGGGTGATTGTGTTACGGCAATGAAAATTTTAGGAAAATAACGCAAAAGTAGTATTTCACATTTTCTGGAGCTGTAGGTCACCACTGTAAACAATTACATTTCAAAGGAAACATAACGTGTACAAGTATGCTGTTAAGCGAGAGCTATAGTTGACAAATATTTTCGCGCTCCTGAAATGCCAGCTGATCAAAGCTAACATAAATGATTTAGCTACGGCGTCTCTCATGGACATGGAGTATGCTTCGGAGCCTAACTCAAATATCTGCTACGCATATGAAATTCTCTAGATGTATTTCTGCCGTGGATATTTCGCATGGGTGACAATTAATAAAGGAATATGCCAGTAAGGTTGCATAGGACGGCGTTTATTTTGTAGAATACCACTGCTAGAAACTCACCTGTCCATCTCTCTGCTGCATGATTTACGTTTTGTTGTTATTTTATCTCAAAATTAGTCAATCCACGCACACTCAAAAGTAATTATGAGCACTTTTCCATACATCACTTGATCCGATTATGAGCTCAATAAAATTGATTGATTGATTGATTGATTGATTGATTGATTGATTGATTGATTGATTGATTGATTGATTGATTGATTGATTGATTGATTGATTGATTGATTGATTGATTGATTGATTGATTGATTGATTGACTGACTGACTGACTGGCACGTTCACAGTAACATTGCTTACCTTCCAACACAGATGGCCAGCCTCCTCTGGATAGCGTACAAGATCGCGCTGCTCTGCCTGGTGATCCACGCTGAATGGGCTTCCGACGCCACTGAAGTGGTGAACGGTCGCACAATAACCAACGTCGAAAGGACCGTTCCCGTGGTGACCACTCGCAGCGGCACCGTCTCTGGTGACACAGTCGAATACCTGGGCAAGAGCGTGAACGTTTTCCTTGGCATACCCTACGCTGAACCTCCCGTCGGTCACCTGCGCCTGCGGAAGCCTCTTCCGATCGAGCCCTGGCCGGGTACGCTAAACGCAACGAAGCGACCAAACCAGTGTCCTCAAAACCCCTTCGGCTGGCCTCCCATGCCGGGAAAATCCTTCAACTGCAGCGAGGACTGCCTCTACCTCAACATATGGGCCCCAAAGCAAGTGAACGCCGCCGGTCTTCGAGACGTCATGGTGTGGATCCACGGCGGTGACTTCGTGTTGGGTTCGTCAAGCTGGGATTTCTACGATGGTGGCATGCTCGCCGCGTACGGAGACGTCGTTGTTGTCTCCATGAACTACCGCCTCGGAAGACTGGGCTTTCTAAACGCCGCCTCGGAGGAGGCTCCCGGGAACCAGGGTCTGCACGACCAGAACATGGCGTTGCGGTGGATTAAGGATAACATCGTCTTTTTCGGTGGCAACAAGAGCGCCGTCACTCTTTTCGGGCAGGACGCGGGGGCGGCTTCGATAGCCATGCACATGATATCTCCGCTGAGCACGGGACTTTTCAGGCGAGTCATACTGCAAAGTGGAGGCCCCTTCTGGAAGCTGCGGACTAGTTCCATGATGGAAGGGCACGTGCCGCTCAACACGAAGTCGGTGAAGAGGGCTCGCAACTGCACGACGAGAACACGAAAGCAGATCGACGACGAGTTCGAGAAGGCGCTCGCCGACGCCGTGCTGAGACGTGGCGTCGAAGACGTCTACCACATGTACGGCCCGACGTTCGACAACGAGCTCCTACCACTGAACCCGCACATGGCATTTAGCATGGGGCTCTTCAACGAGGCTGACGTCCTCATCGGTTCGAACGTCAACGAAGGCGCGTGGGAGTTCTTACGCCATATGAGGTGGAGGACGTTCGTCAATTCGAGCGAGTTCACTTCTCTGAAGCTGTTGAACTATATAAAGTTGTTCTTCAACGAATACGGCTTCAGAAAGCACTTAGGTTCACAGGCTACAGAGGGTGTGTATTACTACTACGCGTCCAACTTAAGAGGTCTGGACGTCCTGCACAACAGGGAATACGTCTTCGAATTCATCGGCGACTACCTCTACACCTGTCCGACGAGGTACTTTGCCGAAGCTCTCGCAGACCACAACGCAACGGTTTACTTCTATCGGTTCAGCCACGCTATCGCAAGGCAGGAAGACCCATGTGGGCTTCGGCGACCCACTTCGACGAGATCCCGTTCGTCTTCGGCCGACCTCTTCGCCACCCCGAAAGGTACACGACCGTTGAAAAGGAGCTAAGTGTCGCCATGATGGACGCCTGGGTGTCGTTTGCGAAGAACGGGTGAGTTACATTTTTGCGCACACATGTTTGTCTACGTACGAAGACATACCACGGTCCTGTAACGTGAAGGGACTAGCCAGCTCTTTAAAAGGTCACTAGTCACAATATCACGTACGTTACCCACTGCGTGAGCCACGGGTTCAACCCCAGCCACGGCTGCCACATCGTCTACGACGTTGGCGTAGTTGCATTTACTTTCACGTGAAAGAACCCTAGTAGGTCGAAGTTAATACGGTATCTTTCACTGTCAAACGCATGCCCATAATTATATATTGATCTTTCTCTTTACTTTCTTTCGAGCTCCTCAATCCATTTTCACTGTGCTATGAAAAAGGATTGGGGAGCATTGTACCGATTATGCTAGAGACTGGTTAACACTCCCCTCCTTTCTTCTCTCTTTTGTTGTCCTTCCTTTCGTTTTTAAATTTTTTCACTTCATAAAAGAATAAACCCACATGAACGACTACATCACTGACGGGTCAGCAATGTCTGTCTTGTGTGTGCACGCGCTCTGTTTCTCTGTCTCCTTCACTCTTTCTTTCGTTTAATCTATTTACATATGGAAACATGTCGCGCACAGAGGTCTCACAACAATCAAAAGGCCTATTAGTTTCTTACTGTGTCTGAACGTACGGGCTCGTGCTCCCATAAATCAACACGTTTCTTGCGTCCGTTTGTGTACATGCGATAATATACGAAGTCTGCGTGAATCACGTTTCAATTCTGGTATACCTCTAACTTTTTTATTCAGTTTTAACACAACTTCACGTTATGCAAGAGAAACATTCTGTACATGTGAGATCTAGCTAATGCTGCTCTCTATAGTGTCGTTCTAACAGCCGAGTATCCTCGTTCGCAGGAAACCAAAGACACCGTCTGGGGAGCCATGGCCGAAGTACTCGTCAAAGCGGCCGTTGTACCTTGACATGTCTTCTAAAGGATTCACCACTGAGACAGGACCAAGAACAGAGGGTTGCTCTTTCTGGAGGACCTTTCACAACTACGATCTCTGGCGTAACACTGCTCGGATGGATTTCTGATCCTCTTCTATGCAGCCACGCGCGTCAAGTAGTTCTAGTAGCTCATCGTCAAACGCACATAATGCACATTTTGAGTACGTAGGGGAGTGAGCTAGAAGTGTCATGTACATCATACTGTTTTTCCCTCTGTTTTCATCTCTCATTTTAAGTGTGGTTTGCGAATGACTCCAAAGATTTTTGTTTCTTTTATTTAAACTCGGGCGCGAAACAAAATATGATGAAAGAACAAAAAAAACATAATATTCCCGTCAGATGACAGGAATTGAATTTTCATTCATTTCAAATAAATCTGCGATTCATACTCACAATTACATATTCCTTAAATTACGCAAAGATGTACCATCTTTCGGTAGAGGCTCTGGCGAAACAGCGTGAACAACGGGACAACAAAAAAGAAGACAGCACAGCTAAGAAGTGCTCTAAGACGAAGTGATCGGCCCAGCTTAAATGCTATCAATCCACTATTAAACACAACATATACGTCAGCTTAATCGCGCCCACTTCGTACGAGTGCGACAAAGCTTAATTACGCAGTTCTATACAGCAGGCTCGTTCGTCCTTGTCTTCTGATAAAGCCCATATAAATTCTTTAGTTGGCTACCAGTAGTGACCAGTATATAAACGTAAAACTGACTGCATCTATTGAAAGTGCATTTCCAAGAGAATTCGATGACATTCGACGCGACTCGGATTAGAGTCGTAAAGATATCAACTTATAAACGTTTTTTTGATCATGTATTGGTGACTTGGTATGTCCTCGATTCGTCGTAGTACAATTTTGTTCCTCCCGCTTATTTATCGGTGGGCTGGCTTGTACGCAAGCCACTAATTTGTGGCGATGGTGTGTCATGTTTCACAGCATATCTGTTACCGAAGACCTGCGTGCGGCGTTGTAAGACCCGTCATAAATATCATTCCATTGTTACGAGCTTGGCAGCATCGTCTCATGTAATTTATTACTCACAGTTTAGCGATTTCTGGTCCGATCCACGTTTGGTTGGTGTATCATTAAAAGCTGGAGTGCGAGCATCAACCGCTTCACACTGTCATTTGTGGCCAAAACGTTATACATCTATCCTGTTACACCTCAACGTCACCAACAATGTTACATTAACATAATCGTTTCTGTGTCTTTCGTGTGGTGCCAGAAAACATACCACGAAATGCCTAGGATGACTGCCAGTTGGGCATGTTGGTACAAGTCGGTTGGTGCACTGTGTCCTGTCTGAGTGTTTCTACTTTTCGGCGCTTGCTTCATCATAAAAAAATGTCTTGTTATTGCATTGTCTCATCAACGTCTGTTGTACCAGTTACATGTTTCTAAAAAAACATAAAGCAGAGGAACTTGGAAAAATATAGGCTGAACAAGTGCCTTTTGTCCGTGCCTAATCACAGTCTGGCTTAAATCTTCATGGTTTGTTATCGTTCGGATTTACTTCTGTTAATATGCACTTACATATATGAGTGTTGCGGGGAAATATTTTCGAATTCTTAAAAAAACAGACGGTAAAAGAAAGAAATGTTCAATAAGCAAACGAACGAAAACGAAGAAACGCAACAAAGAAGTTATCTGGGGTGAATTTGAACTGAGGACAACAATGCTAGCGCAAAGCTTTTGAAGCAATAAATTAGAGTTTTGAAAACGAAGTATTTCTGCCGTCATGATCATTTCGACGCATGCAATGACACTCGGGTGTGTTCTCTGGCACCTAGGAGGAGCTTTCATGTATTTAATCTTGATCACTTTCAAAATTAAGTGTCCGTAGAATGTTCAACCTATAATGTTTAGCGTGACATGTCACTATAACGACGATCTTCGACGCATCGTTCCATGCAGTGCACTCGAAGAGTGATGCACGCTAAAAGCACACTAGGCATTGTCAAACATCACACGTGATTGTTGATTCACTTGGTCGTACGTCTTACGTTTGGCTTAGCAAAAGTATTGAAATAAACATCTGCCTCACTGATTCAGTTGATCACATAACTCTCCATTGAAGGTAAAATCTACACTCAGAGATTGACTATTAAATTGTTTTAGGTTGATGACACCCTTCATTGAATAAACGCGAGCATGTCTGCCACGTGCGCTTCCTTTTGACTCGTGGTCACATATATAAAGTTATAGTCAATTTTGTATGAGGAAGACTACAGTGCATGCGCAGTCAAGGCTAAACTCAAGGCGCAGTCGAGGCGCAGTCGAGGCGCAGAAACACGACGCAATGATGTGCACTCGGAGAAAGGGGCTTTAATGACTGAGTAACGGCTTCTGGGAAGATTAATAGGACAGAGCAAATGTGTACACAGCGCAACATATGCAGCGACAGTTTCGACGCGTTCTCCGAAAGTTGCAGCCGCAACGCACGACTCCCAAATGACCATCGTGCGTATACTTGACACGATTGCAGTCACTCACTCAATCTGCTCGGAACCCGAAACGCCGAATACACCACGTCAAACCAACAAAATAAAATCTCCCCGGCGGGGTGACTTCTAAGTAATTGCCTATATTACATTGGCTGAATGGACCTCGGGATAAGCAAACCATGTCAGCAAGCTGTTATTCACGCCGAGCGAATAGCACTGAACTATAATGGTGCCGCACGTGTTTTGCTCTTATTTGACAGGCGTCACTCGCTTGTCGGGAAGGTCCGTGACCACGCAATGCTCATGTTGGGAGTACAGCGAGGAACAGAGGTACCACAAGCCCGGGGTGTCGTTTACCGCCTAGCCGCGAGACGTGTTATTAAGAGCAACTGCTCACAGAGGGTTGCTAGGACGCGGTGAGTACGGTTCCGATTGCGATGCCATGTAGCGTGGCCCAGATCTCTTACGCCGAAACGCGCGCACGCACACGATGATGCCACGGTCAAGATGTAGGCAGTCGCCACTGCATACATCTTTCTCTTACGCTTGCTCGACCTTGGACAGCACGCTGTGCCGAAGAAGTGCCGCTTTGCGCATGATTCATACAGAGTGTCCCAAATCCGGCGGTTGACTCATTATTCGCTTTTTGTTGTTGTTTTTGTTTTCCATCGAAGTCCCATTGTAAACGCTATCATTTAGTTACTCATGCCAGCGCGGTGCTGCGGTGCAAAGCGAAACGACGTGACACCGTTTCTGATAGGAGACGAAACTCGTCAAGCTCCGCCCACTCTCCAAGGTGAATGCATTGTGATCTTTTTTTTTTTTTTTATCCGAGGCCACATTTGAGGCTGACAGCCAGTGAGCACGTGCCCACACAAAACGCAAAAGTTAATTGGTGCCACATTCGAGGGTGCTTCCAGCTTTGACTGTACTACTGCAAAGCTTCGAACGTTCGGTTAGCTAGGGAGATTTGCGAGTTATACATGTGCACACAGACAACGTCTTTCTTGTATAGGTGACACGGCTGCAAGAGAAGTGGTTATAAGCGGGAAAAGAAGAGAAAAGTGAGCCCCGTAACTGTTTGCATCAGGGTGAGACACCTCAACAGTAGCTCACAAGAGATGGGGTGAGGAGGGATTAAAAGGATAGGACTAAAGGTGTAAAGAGAGAGCGAAAGATGCGCTGGGACAGTGAGCGAGAACATATGAGGGATCGGAGAGGTAGGAAAGATGGAAACACGGTCACAGGAGTCCGAGGACGGGGCACCACTTGCGAGAGCTCTTGTCGGCGTCAGGGGATGGCGTAGGGCAAGTCCAGTAGGTCAGAGCTACACTGTCGTCGGAGATCGGCGTCAGGAGATGACGTAGGGCGAGCCTAGTCGGCCAGAGCTACGCTGACGTCGGAGATCGCGAGGGCACAACCGCTCGGCACGGAATCCAGCGAGCCAGTCCTGACACGGCTGCAAGAAAGACGTTATACGTTAACACAGAAGTGTCTGTTGGGAAGTTACCAACTGTTCAATATAGACTGGCCTTTTTCTTTCTTTTTTTTCTAATGAGCGAAGCTCTCAAATCTGGAGGTAAAACGTTGAGTGTCCGCAAGGAAATCCTCCACAGCGTTGCTTAGCAGCCGCGTCCTACGAAGGCATTCCACGCCGCCCCCACACTGTGCTTGCTGCAGGAGTGGCGCGAGCCGAGTACTATAGCGATCCGTGGTTCTACTGGAGGTGCCACAGCCAGCTTTACACGTTAGTTGTGGCGCTGGGATTAAGGCATCTTTGCATTGTCTGTGACAGGCTGTGGTTCGACTTGACTCAGTCTACGCCAAGGAAAGATCTAGCATCAGCAAAGAAGGCCGCAGAAGATTATGTTTGCCCGATGAACCACATTAGCAGTTTTTTTAAGCTTTGCACGGCTAGTGCAAACTTCCTTTTAAATGCGACGAATTTCTTGGCCAACTTCGGTGACGTTTAGCCTATCTATCTATCTATCTATCTATCTATCTATCTATCTATCTATCTATCTATCTATCTATCTGTCTGTCTGTCTGTCTGTCTGTCTGTCTGTCTGTCTGTCTGTCTGTCTGTCTGTCTGTCTGTCTGTCTGTCTGTCTGTCTGTCTGTCTGTCTGTCTGTCTGTCTGTCTGTCTGTCTGTCTGTCTGTCTGTCTGTCTGTCTATCTATCTATCTATCTATCTATCTATCTATCTATCTATCTATCTATCTATCTATCTATCTATCTATCTATCTATCTATCTATCTATCTATCTATCTATCTATCTATCTAGCCGTCTACGACTTCTAGCTCTCCTGGCCGTTTGGATAATGGTATCAATACCAAACTTGGTATGCTATAACATGACTGTATGACGAACATAACTGCCTAGTCATAACACAAAAATAATGGCATGTATGTCATAACTGTCATGATTTACAAGTCACAGTCTTGCTGCTCTTGCGGTGGTTTCATTCATATGATATGTTGCAAAACTGGCATGACTGCATGGCGAACACAAGCGACACACCGCTGCATCAAAATCATGACATGCGTGTCATGTAACAACATGACTACGTTCCACACTCATGATGCGCCCGCGGCCGTTTCGCGACCTTCACATATGCCAAAATTTGGCATTACGTCACGTGAATGGATGAAGAAGGTATGTGACTGGTGCAAACATATTGATGATGACAATATGTTGGTCATGTAAGAACATTGCCCCACCATGGTGGTCTAGTGGCTAAGGTACTCGGCTGCTGACCCGCAGGTCGTGGGATCGAATCCCGGCTGCGGCGGCTGCATTTCCGATGGAGGAGGAAATGTTGTAGGCCCGTGTGCTCAGATTTGGGTGCACGTTAAAGAACCCCAGGTGGTCGACATTTCCGGAGCCCTCCACTACGGTGTCTCTCATAATTA